AATTATTATTACTTATTATTTTTTACAATTTTTTAATGTAATTATTTTGTTATCAATTTTTTTTCACTTAACTTTATTGCTATCACACAGGAGCTAACAAGCCCCCTGTGTGATAGCCTTTGGAGGTGACAGGTTCTCTTTATTGACCCCTGTCACCTCCAATAAGGGAGTTCTAGCACAGCTCTCCCCTCTCACTCTCTACACGGAGCGGCAGGGTTACTTTTAACCCTCCCGCTCTCCTCACCGCTCTCCATCCTGAAGACGGCGGCGGTCAGCGAGGAGAGGACAGAGCCGGGAGACGGAGCAGCATGCAGAGAGGGGGTGGGGGGTGGCGGGGGCGTGAGAAGATGACTGCAGTCTAATTACAAGTGATCTTAGCGACATCGCTGGGATCACTTGTAAAGAAACAAGCGGTGGCTTCCCCGCTCTACATTTAGCCCTCATTGTGCAAAGCCGGGCTAAATGTAGAAAAGAAATTCCGGGCGTCGGGAGACTTCAAAAGTCTGCCGCCCCGAGGCCAGGCCTCGGTGGCCTTGTCGGGAATGCGGCCCTGTGAGCAGGGACCAGAAGATGTCTATTACTTTTACTAGCCCCCAAACATTCTCCTCTGGTCCCCTACCCGAGCAATGTGGTTCCCTCCAAAGTCACTACTCTGTCCTGCACACTCCCAGAGGAGGATCCTCCAGGCACCGTAGCCAGGGCCGGATTTACTCTCTCTGCTGCCCCAAGGCCAGGTTCCTCAATGCGCCCCCCTACCGGCCAACACCCAACCCGCCCGACACCCAGAACCACATGTCCCGGGCATCGGGAGATAGGAATTCCTCACCCCTGCTGCCCCTCTACTCCCTGCTGCCCCGGCCCTGACCACAGCTCTCGAAGGAACAGGTAAGCATAATGTCTGCTCATTACAGAGCAAATATTTTTTTCTACTTCTTCATTTTGTGACAGGTTCTCTTTACCACATGACAAATGATTGTCAGAGCACTATGGGTTAGCAAAGGAGGTTTTTTTCCTTCTAAGAAAATAGGGGAATATTGAGGTACGATAACAGAGGAGTGTTAAAGGGTCTCCTCTTGTAAAACCTTCCTGCTAACGAGGGACTTGGGGGAGAATTCCGTATAGGGGTCGTGTATGCCCTGATAATGAATTGACTTGATGACTACAATTAATTTTAGTCATCAAAAAGTTAAAGATTTATAACATGGTGGTGCTGACGGTGGATGCCGATTACCAGGGTGCTTTGCTTTGGGCTACAAATCCCGAAGATCAGCCCCAGGGGTGTTGAGGGGGTGCTGGTGCTACCTCTGGGCCCGGTGGCTCTGTTTGCCCAGCTCACTGGTTGCCAGAAGTTGGTTGGGACACCAGCCAGAGCATTACAGGTTGTAAGCTGTTAAATCAGGTGGGCGTAACTAGAAATCACAGGGCCCCATACAAAATTTTGCTATGGGGCCCTGTGATTTCTAGTTACGCCCCTGGCAACAGACCTAAAAAAAAAGAGCCTTGTGGAAAAAGGGAGTTATTTTGAATACATATATTGATAGAGACACATTTCCAGTGTTCGAGTTGCTGTGATGGGGGGGCTGTCAGGTACCTTCATATTATGTTTGTATTTTGCAGTGGATTTGTAATCAAATTGACTGAAAAAAAAAAAGCAAACGACGGTGAACATTTCAGCAGCTTGCTTTGAGGCTCCGTGTGTCTGATTGAAACTCCAGACATCTGATGTGATGAGGGCGCAGTTACTTCTCTGATAATTCCTTCAGCTTTTTTATTTTTGTTGTTGCAGTTATTACTGATATATAGCTAGATGTGTGAAATGGAGACCAGAGCGCCCCCTGCTGGCTCAAAGGAGAATACACCATATTACTGGGCAAATTTTCATATTTTTCATGTTTTATAGTGAAGAAAATGTGCAAAAAGTTACTGTACTTTCCCTTTATGTTTCTGATCCTCGAGGGAAGACATTTTCCTACACACAGCTGGCTTCCTGTTTTAATGCAACCTCTAACTAGATGGAGCCAGATACGGCCGGACCTCGATGCTGGTTTTCTTTCGCGGCAGAAATCCCCCTGGATATTACATTATAGGCACCGGTGAGACCTCACCTTCCTGCTGCTGTAATGGGGGTGCTTCCCCAGTTTGCCATTCATCGACTCCAGGAAAATGGTGTCCGTGACGTCACCCACCGTCAAGCACGCCTCGTCCAAGATGGAGATGATCCCTTTATGCGGCTGCTCCACCAGATCCACAATGATCTGATTATTGAAGTATTCAATCTGAGATCAGAACAAAACATTTTCATCATTCAAGTCTATGGAAAGTTTCACCCCTGTGCTGAGTTCCCGGGTCTGTACCCCCGCTGTGCCCATTATGAGGAGCTCCCACCATCCCTGTGCTGAGTTCCCGGGTCTGTACCCCCGCTGTGCCCATTATGAGGAGCTCCCACCATCCCTGTGCTGAGTTCCCGGGTCTGTACCCCCGCTGTGCCCATTATGAGGAGCTCCCACCATCCCTGTGCTGAGTTCCCGGGTCTGTACCCCCGCTGTGCCCATTATGAGGAGCTCCCACCATCCCTGTGCTGAGTTCCCGGGTCTGTACCCCCGCTGTGCCCATTATGAGGAGCTCCCACCATCCCTGTGCTGAGTTCCCGGGTCTGTACCCCCGCTGTGCCCATTATGAGGAGCTCCCACCATCCCTGTGCTGAGTTCCCGGGTCTGTACCCCCGCTGTGCCCATTATGAGGAGCTCCCACCATCCCTGTGCTGAGTTCCCGGGTCTGTACCCCCGCTGTGCCCATTATGAGGAGCTCCCACCATCCCTGTGCTGAGTTCCCGGGTCTGTACCCCCGCTGTGCCCATTATGAGGAGCTCCCACCATCCCTGTGCTGAGTTCCCGGGTCTGTACCCCCGCTGTGCCCATTATGAGGAGCTCCCACCATCCCTGTGCTGAGTTCCCGGGTCTGTACCCCCGCTGTGCCCATTATGAGGAGCTCCCACCATCCCTGTGCTGAGTTCCCGGGTCTGTACCCCCGCTGTGCCCATTATGAGGAGCTCCCACCATCCCTGTGCTGAGTTCCCGGGTCTGTACCCCCGCTGTGCCCATTATGAGGAGCTCCCACCATCCCTGTGCTGAGTTCCCGGGTCTGTACCCCCGCTGTGCCCATTATGAGGAGCTCCCACCATCCCTGTGCTGAGTTCCCGGGTCTGTACCCCCGCTGTGCCCATTATGAGGAGCTCCCACCATCCCTGTGCTGAGTTCCCGGGTCTGTACCCCCGCTGTGCCCATTATGAGGAGCTCCCACCATCCCTGTGCTGAGTTCCCGGGTCTGTACCCCCGCTGTGCCCATTATGAGGGGTTCCCGCCATCCCTGTGCTGAGTTCTCGGGTCTGTACCCCCGCTGTGCCCATTATGAGGGGTTCCCGCCATCCCTGATGAATTTCTATTATGGAGAAGGGTAGGAACTGGAACACACAAAGGTGGGTGGAGTCACCCAGGTGGACAGAGTTGGAAGTGATGGCAGGTAGATCTCATAGTTGAATTATATGAACACAGGGGATGACTTACAGCTAAGATATCACTTTTGGGTGTACTGCGCCTTTAACGGCACCCCGTTATTTTCCGCCATGGTTCTCCTGTGTGAGGTGTCATGAAAGCCGCGTGTCGGTGGAACATGAAGTGCGCGGCTGAGACTTACGTGCTGCCATTCGATGCCTTCCCGCTGGTACTCATCTTGTTCCTGGCGGAGGATCAGTTCAATAAACAGCTGCTGCAGCTTCTCGTTGCAATAATTAATACAGAACTGCTCGAAGCTGCGGACAGACAGACAGGAGATGGTGACTGCAACATCCGCTAATATTTACTAAGACACAACCAGTAATAACCCATCGCAGCCAGTCTGTGTGCCATGAGAGAGCCATCCAGTCTGTGTGCCATGAGAGAGCCATCCAGTCTGTGTGCCATGAGAGTCCCAGCCAGTCTGTGCGCCATGAGAGACCCAGCCAGGTCTGTGTGCCAAGAGAGGCCCAGCCAGGTCTGTGTGCCATGAGAGACCCAGCCAGTCTGTGCGCCATGAGAGACCCAGCCAGGTCTGTGTGCCATGAGAGACCCAGCCAGGTCTGTGTGCCATGAGAGAGCCAGCCAGGTCTGTGTGCCATGAGAGTCCCAGCCAGTCTGTGTGCCATGAGAGTCCCAGCCAGTCTGTGCGCCATGAGAGAGCCAGCCAGGTCTGTGCGCCACGAGAGAGCCAGCCAGTCTGTGTGCCACGAGAGAGCCAGCCAGGTCTATACAGAGAGAGTACAACCAACATTCATCCGTCCTGATCAGATATCACTTTCTAGTGGAGCCCAGAGGTAGAATGTCACTTCCCGGGGGGCCTCAGTAATCAGATTGTACTGAGGAGCAATACAAAATATGTGCCAACCAACAGACCCCCCCTCCCCCCCCCTCCCCCATTCTAATTTTGTTTGGAAAGAAGAG